TTCTGGCTTTGGCTGTCTTTTTGTGTTAAAGGAAAGAATATTAAATAGTCTTTATTCAGTTTACAGTGTTGTCATTAGTGAGATACAAAGATAATGACTGTAAGCCAATCAACGTGGAGTGTCTCTGCGCACTAAATTTAGGAATGCAAACTCCTAGTGGATAGAGATCTTTCCCTCTTTGTATTTGATCAAAGCTGCTCTCTGTACTGGCTGGGGGGGGCGGGAGCCAGACCTCCCCAGGACCTGGGGTGATCAGCAGGTTTTTAACCCTCCTGTGACGTGCTCTGTGTCGCCTTACCAACACCGCTGGCACAGGCTTGGCTGAGGGTGCGGCGTAAGCGATCTCGCGCGCCGTTCCCTCGCGGACCCGCTGCCCCAGCACAGATGGGAACGGGCGGAAGGGAACTGGCTCCTCACCTCTCCGACGGCTTGCTTCCAGTTGTCGAGTGCAGAAGGGTAAACCCGTCCCATTGGGGCGAACGTGAGGGAGGAGAGGCTGTGCAGGGAAGGCTTTGTGCCCGGGCAGTGCCTGTCGCCCTGCTAGGGCAGCGTGCTCTGTTTCGGTAGTTGCAGTGGCCAGCTCGGGGGCACCAGCTGAGCTGGGACACGCTAACTGTGTTGCCTCCCTGTGCGGGTTGGGGCATGTTGCGGTGCTGTGCAGTGCTGTCGCAGCGGGGATGTGGGTCCTGCAGCAATAAGGTTTGCATCCACAAAATGTGGATGAACAAAGCATTTTATGTGGTGTTCTTGTAATCCCTAGAGGGCAGTGAGGTGGTGGCCCCCTTTTGTTTTTCTCCTACGGCTTCATTTTGTGATGCAGTTGGGTTGCAGGGCAGCAAAGACTGCTTTGAGCACAAGGAATCGTCTCAAGCCTGCGTGGCTGGGACTGTCCTCGCAGGGACGAGTCTCCTGCCAGCTCTCTTGCGTCGAGCTCTGCTTCGGAGGAGTGCGAGGGGCGCCTGGAGCTGTGGGGGGGTCCCCCCAGGGCACAGGCCATGTCGAGGGGGCTCGTGCCTTTCCTGTGGCGTAGTGCGGCAGCGGTGTTTGAGGGTGGTGGTGGGGTGTGTGTGTGCATGTGAGAGAGTCTGCTAATGCAGATTCCCCTGGAGTGGCCGGGTTTTCTCTGATGGGGACAAGGGTACCAGACGTGGCCTGAAATGTGGCAGCTGAGGGATTTAGCAACCTCTTCTGAGCCTCTCCGTCCTTCAGGGAAGCGTTTTGCCATGCTACTGTTGTTGGTCTTGACTTAGTCCACCTAAAACACGATTCTGGTTGGACCAAACAGCATCTTCAGAAACTCCTTTGTGACAGAAATGAGTAGAATAATTTACCAAAGGCTTTGAAATTGGAAGCTAATTTGGAAGTGTGATTGGCAGCAGTGAGGTGCTGCGCCCACCCTTTCTGGGCAGGTGTTGGAGGTTAACCTCTGCTGTTTTCTCTTCACAGCTACTGTTTTCTGTTGGTGTGTTCTAGGAAAAGCAATGTGTTCCAAGTTTATGCTGACTCTTGGGTGCGTTGGGTTTGCTGTTACCCTCTTGTAAGTGCATCAGGCAGGCTGTGATTTAGGTGAAACTAATTAGAGCTTGTGATGAGGCAAGAGCAGTGTGATTCTGTGAATGCGCAGGCTGCTGCACCACGGACTGTGCATCCCGCCCGACTGCATTGTGCTGCTGTTGTTCAATCGCTGGTCTGCTTTCCAGAGCGTCCCATGCTGCGTGTATCTGCCTTTCACGGTGGACATTTGCATCATCCCCAGTGCAGTGTGATCAAGCGTTGTGCTGCCAGGGTGGTCGCTAACATGCTTGGATGGGAGGAGATCTGCGAGCAGCTGGCAAGAGAGGGTAGTGGCAGCAAAGCCATGAGTTTCCTCGGTGCCAGAGAATTTTCTGTCCTTCCCCCCTTGTTGCCCCAGCATTTAGCATATTCACAATAACACTTTTAATAAAGGGGGGAGTTTCTGCCATTGTAGCTCTGGTAGGACGTTGGATTCCCAGAAAGGGGCATCTTCTGTCAATACGCTGGAGCCTCCGAGAACAGCGTGCCCTCCCTCTGCAAAATCTGCATTTCATGAACCCCTTTAATTATCAGTAGGAGAGCAAAACTGCGCTGCTCCGGGCCGTTCTGTGGTGAAGGTTTTGCTGGTTTGTGGCTTATGGGGATTCACTTGGTTACTTTAACAGTTTCTAGATGGGTGCAGAAGCTTGAACATGCAGAATGGGTCTGGTGAGCAGCATCGGTAGCTCTGGCTGCCAAGCAGTGACCCAAGCAAGCAGACTTGGAGTGTAGGTGAAGGCTGTAGAAGATGCTTTTCACGCTTGTAGATGGTAGAGGGATGGAAAATCAGCACTGTTTAAATGCTGGTACTGAATTCTATAGAACAAAGTACGAATTGGGCACTTCTGTAATGCTGACTGGGTCCGGAAAGACTAGTTCGCAGAACCTCATACTGGTATCTAAAATGCACTTTAGGTTATTTTTTTCTTTAACCCAATTGCTGCAATTTCTTTTGTATATACTTTCACAAAGTTTATTTTTGCTCTGAGTAAAAGTTAACAGGGGTGTGCAAAGATGAGCACTTAACTTGGTGCAATACTTGTAGCTAAAGATCATTGTCCCGTGTGGTCAGTCTGTCTGTGTCTGTCTAACTGAATATGTATAGTAACTAGCTCAGTGACATACTGCCCTTCCCTGTCTGTGCCCGAGAGAAATTATGCATCATTAGCAAACGTCCAATCTATGCAAATATTCCACTGAGAGCACTGTGCTTTGGCCGGCCTTTTCTCTCACGCTTTCTGGTGGGCTGCTTGTCACTCCTGTTGGGCACAGCCGTGGTCCTTGGTGTGTACCCTTTCCCCCTTGCCCTCCGCTCTGTTCTGCCACACGAGTATGAACAGAAGTGACAAGCTGTTCTGAAACAGGCATGTTGCACCTTTAAAATTTGTCTTCAAGATCGTTTTTGATGTCATGTTATCTGCCTTACTTCATGGAGGATGGCACTTCTGCGGTCATCCGAGGGATTGTTTTTGCAACTGCAGCAACATTGTGAAACTGTTTACAGTACTCTTCCTGCACCAATTATAAATAAGGCTCGGAGAACAAACTAATGACTGTCCTGTCGGTTGTGGAACTGCTGGGCGAGAGGAGTTGAGGTGTAGTTGACCTCGGAGCTGATTGGAGATGAAAAGCTGTTCCTGATTTTGAGGCGGGGAGCATAGCTGGCAACCGAAATGAGGCAGCCAGGTCTGTGGTGTAGAGCAGGCGGGATCTTGGTGCCACGTTCTTTATTCTGACGCTGGCTGGCTGCAAGACCTTGGGCAAGTCACCCAACCTCTCCGTGCCTCGGTTTCCACCCTGTGAAATGAGGACAGTGAAACTTGGCATTGGTGACCTGACCTAGCTGGGCAGAGCTGTTGGAGTTGACCCGGACTGTAAGGCAAAAAAAAAAAAAAAAAAAAAAAAAAAGCATGTCTTTAATAAACCCTACAAATTTCTGATTGCATAGTTTTTAATTGGTACACTATTTTTTCCGTAACCTATTTTGGAAGCAGTGTCAAGTTTTTATAAACGTTACCTGTAGTTGATACTCATGGACAGGGCTGAACTTTTAACTTTTTTGCGTCTTGTCTTGGTATGTATCATATGTCCTAGAAGTTGGGATTCTGTGTCTGCACTGAGAAATGCAAATTAAACTGGATATTTATGTAGTAGTGTACATAGTCTAAGTGTGTGTGTTCTTGGGAACTAGTTTGAAAATCCCACACCATGCTTTCGGTGGTGTGCAAGCTGGCCAAAATTTGGTTCATTATGCAGTGTACACTTTCTCAAACAAATGCAGTTTCTACTTTTTCTTACAAGAAATTTTTTTCATATGATCTTTTTTCAGCAAAATCAAGGGTATGTTTTTGCAGTACCGTAGTGGCAGTAGCTGGTATCCCTTGCTGTGTAGCTTTGTGTCCTTCCACGTGCTTGCTGAACCCGAGCTATCTGTCTGACCCTTGTTTGGAGAGAGAGAGTTGTAGTTGCAGTTCTATTTCACACAGACCAGCATCAGCGCAGCGGGCAGGGATGCGCGAACTTGAGCCTGGTTCGTTACTGAAGCGGTCCTCAGCATCGACAGCGGCATAATTGTCAAACCGGGAAGTCCAGGAGAGCCGTAGGTTGTCTACTCACTGCTTTTGTTTTGTTTGACGCGTATGGGGAGCTGGGCAGCGGTCTTGGAGATGACAAAACAAAAAGAACCCCAGTTTTTCAAGAATGTGTGTATGGTATTAAAGGAATTTATTTAACTATGAAACATGGGAACAAATGTGCTTACATTGAGCAATGTGAATATGTTAGTTACAGGTACAGTACTTCCAAAGGAAGAGCATCTCCAAAACCCAAAAAAGAATAAATATGAATTTGTATTTTTTGAAGAATGTAAAATGTGAAATAATGGTGTTTGCTTAATTGCTCATTTTGTATGAAGTTAATATTGTACTTTGAAATATCTGCAAAGAAGTGGAAATTAACTTTTTTTGAATTGAAAGCAATATTAATACTAATGGAATCCTAATTAAATGCTTATTTAAACATTGTGTTATAATAGTCTTTCCTCAGAGTATTTACAAGTTGTTTGGGAAATGGGTGTGAGGATCCTTCCCCCGCCCCCCGAGGACAGATCAGGACATGACGGTGTTCCCAAATCCTGACAGACAGCAGCATTTGCCTTAGCAGGCTCCTCCCTCCCCAACAGTGACCTTCACAAACAAACGTCAGATCCTCAGCTTCACTCAGGTATGGAAAGGAGTTGGAGTGTGTGTTGTGAATCTACAAAGTACTCTTCTTTACCGAGAACGGGCAGTGCTTGCACAGTCCCTTTCATGCCAGCACCCGCTGTGTTCGGTGCGGGTACCGTGCTGTCGGGCCTGTAAGCCACCTGAAGCTGCAGGGGCAGTGAGAAAGGCGAAATTTCCTTTGGTAAAGAGGGTTTTAGTACCTAAAACCTTCAACGCGGGGACATGAAGTACGTTCCAGTAAAGAGGATGGGAACTTTGGGGAAGGCTAGTGGCAGTAAGGAAAGCAGACTGAATCTCTGCTCTGAATAAATCGAGCTTTCAGTGTGGCAAACCCCCCACCCCTGCAGCTGAAGGGCACCTCCCACCCCCAAATCTCCAGCCTCCGCCAGCTGTAGTTTGGTCACAGCTCTCAGATCGTGCAGGACTGTAGTTACCCCTGGAGCCTGAGGTGCTACCCACGAAACAACGCCCAGCTTTCGTGCTGCTCCAGCCCTTCTAAAATGAAGTCGGTTGTGAATGAGTCCTGCTCCTGTTAACGGCCAAGGAAAGAGTCAACATTTTGAGATGAAGGGTGCAACCCGGCTGAAGGCTGCACCTCCTTCTGTGAGCAGCAGCGAACCTCCACAAGGCCGACGGGATGAGATACGGCAGAGCCAATATCGCTTTATTTCCAGTGCAAATTCAGTAAGATAAGGCATGGGTGCAACACGAGAAAGCAAAGTCCAAGGCCGCAGCTGAGGGAGTGGGTGATAGGCGCTGGCTTATCAGTCGTTGGGTTTCCCTGGCACTGACCGGCGAGGCTTTCGGCGCCTGTAACCGAGCAAAAGCCTCGGGTCCCTCCCGCCTCCGCGCCGCTGCCTCCGCGCTCGGACCGCGGCCCCTGCGAGGACGAACTCCGGCG